GTGCAGTAAATGAACAGGGAATTGAGTTTGTCAAGTGGATTTTGGGACGGGCAAGACATCAAAGCAGAGACAGCACTTGTGAAACCCTCTGGATCAGCCAGGGTGGGCATTGGCTGCAGTGGGATTTTTCCCTTGTTTTGTGGGTTAGTCATAGGTTTGTTTATTTTTTTAGAGGTTTTTTTTTTCTTTTCTTATTCATCTGTTGCAATCACAGCAGACACATCATTTCTCAGCCCTACATGGAAATCCAAGGCCAAGGAACTATTTTTAGAGCACAAAATGTCTCCCCTAAAAGTATTAACTTTGGAAGAGTAAATATTAAATATGCTCTCATCACATTAGAGGCGTTTACGCAGAAGTACAACACCAGCGGTTTTAATGGTTAGGGGAAATTATGTTATACCACCAGCACTTAATCAAACACAATAAAACAAGGTCTTACTGCAATTCTTTCAGGAGAAGCTGAAGGGAAATTAATTCCTTTCCACATCCGTTGCTGATGATTTACTGACACCGGGGTGTATTTGCTCCATTAGTATTTATGGTGGCACTTCCAATCCTTATGCAAAACATATAGGGACTAGCCTAACATTTATTTTGCAATTAAATTGAAATGATTCTTTGGCTGCTCACTCCAGATTGAGGTACTCAGCACCACCTGTGATGAGGATACTGCAGGCAAACCCCAAGGGAGCAACAAAGGGAAACCCTATGTGCTCTAAGTGCCTATAAATATAGATTATTACTAAGAAAGGCTTTTTCTACCTTTATTGGGGAATCATTTCTCAGGCTGAGCTGTAGGAGAAGGATGATGTGGTGCTGCTGGTGGAGCACTGGTGCCCCAGGTCTGTCCATCCCTGCCCATGATAAATCCATCCAGACTATCCCAGACATCTCTGGTCTAAGGTGCCAGAGGCAGGAATGTACCTTCCCAGGAATTTGGCAACCTCTTCCAATAACCTCAAATATTTTGAAGACAAAATCCTTGCCACTTTGTAAGGGCAAGCATCAATCAGATCTCCAAGGTGTGTCTGGGGTGAGCATCATCCCCTCAGACATTCTGGGAGTTGGGAAGGTTGGAGTTAAGCCATGACAGGCAGGCTGGCCTCGCTCCCTGCTTTATGGAATTGAACTCTATTAATATCTCCCTGCCTAAAACAGGTGAAAAACTTATTACAGAAGACAACTCTTGAACTGGCTTTGTACAGGCAGGTTCATGCACGCTGCTGTGGGCATTGTGCCTGCACTGTGGGGTTTTGGGACCAGCCAGGAGTTTGAGTTCATCACTGGGGTGCCTGGAGAGCTGTGAGCAATAACACAGCCTAGTAATAAAATCCTTCATTTGCAATAAACTGATTCTTTGCCTTTTCCTTTAAGAGTGACATATAAGCCCATGACAGTTTAAGGTGAACTTCCCCCTCTTCTTCCCCTCAACGCCCAGAAAACCCATCTCAGATTGATGGGTTTTGTGCTGTCTTCACCAGGCACTGTGATTTCCCTGATTAATCACTTTGCTAATAAATTGCACCAAGTATGTCTATTGAACAGCTCATTTTTCTTCAGCAGCTTGGACACGTGGCCAATTTTACAGAAGAAAAATGTACCAGGAAATGCCAAGAAGGCAGGAAAAAAAAGAGCCATTCTTTGATGACTCCAGTATTTGCTGAAACAGGGCTGCACCCTTGCCTGTGGCCTCCAAGCCAGCCAAGTATTCACAGGAAGATGTGGATCCCATTCAAGTTTTTAAAGCTCTGTGATGAGCCCTGTGCTCCCACCACACTCCACAGGTGGAGGGTCGGGCCCAGCAACCACAGCCCACAGCAGCAGACCCACAGAATGGTTTGGGTTGGAAGGGACCCTAGAAAGATTTATTTCCAATCCCCTTCCATGGGCAGGGATGCCACCCACTAGATCAGGTTGCTGGTTGGTATCATCAGGAGAACGAGGAGTGTCTGACAAACAGCAACACATTGCTGGAGTAATTTGGATTTCACAGCTTGCCTTTGCTCCCACGAATAGCAAATCTAGCAGCGTTTTTCCCTGCCTGCTACACCAGCTCCTGGTGCAAGAAGCTGTTCCTCTGAGCATCCCAGCTCACAGCAGAGCTTCCCCTGCGGGTTTTGCTCCAAATCTGCAAAACAAGACTTAAACCGCCAGGAGAAAGGTGGTTACCTCGAATTACAGAAACTTTTGGGCATGGGGGACTCTGTGAACATCCTCTTGCTTGGGCTTGCCCTTCCAGCTGTGACAAATGTCTCCAGCTGCATTTTCCAAGGGCTGGCTGAGGTCTGGTGATGGAAATGTAAATGGAAATGCAACAGAAGTTCACAAATTTGCTATTTTCAGGTAGAGTGGCTGCACCAGCAGGGCTGACCCAGCCCTGCATCCCCACAGAGCTGCATCCCTGGGATGCTCCATGGGCTCTCCTGTCCCTGGGTGAGTTTGCTCTGTGACTGCTCACTCCAACAACACGAGGTACACAGAAAACACTGCTTTATTGACTGCATTTGCCAACACATTGAGGAATGCAAAGGGGTTTTTCATAAGCAATGGGCCATGGTCCCAATGTGTATTAAAGCATACACTGTATCTAAACAGGATGAAAATAATGGCAGACAGAGCTATTCCAAGGCAACACAAATAGCATGCATAATACAGTCTCACACAGAACGAGTTTGATAACATTATATTGCTTTAAGGATTAACTAACATGGAAAATGTACAAAAAGGAGAAATAGGTTTTTGCATTAATGAAAAATACATTTTTTCTCTACAAAGGAATTTCTAATACAAGAAAATAAATATTGCAACATAAGCCAAAAATAATTTAAAATTGCTCTTTTCAATATATTTTCAATATTTCTCTTTTGTATTAACAAATGGCACATCACGTTCTTTGAAACAAAGAAAACAGAAGGGTTTCTCCTCCTGCGACATTCATATCGTTTCCTGTAACTGATGTGAAGTGGGTTGTTTTGGATGTGGAATGGTGCAAACTGGGGGGGATTTCTTTAAAGAACAACCAAACCTCACGTCCTGCCCTGCAGCAGCATCCTCCTCCTGCATCCTGCATCCCTCCCAGCTCTGTTCTGCATCCCCCCTCGGGGCGGGCTCCGTGGGACAGCAGGCATCCTGACCCCATCAAAGAGGTGCAAGCAAAAAAAAAACAGGAAAGAAAAATAACTGAAAGATGGGTGTGGGGAAAATGGGAGCGTGGAATGGGAGCTGCCCTTGGGAAACTTCCACAGCCAAAACAGGAAAGAAAAATAACTGAAAGATGGGTGTGGGGAAAATGGGAGCGTGGAATGGGAGCTGCCCTTGGGAAACTTCCACAGCCATCGGGGCTGGGGCTGGTGTAGGGGGCTGTGCTCCATCAGGGCATGATGCCTTGTGCATCCTCACCTCAACAGCTGCTGCTTCTCCAAGGAAATAGGTGCTCTTACAGTGCAAACGTCGATTCCTGCAGTTTATACATCTTAAAAGACAACATTTCTCTACTAAAATAAACCTTTTTTTTTTCTTCTTCTTTCTATTCATTTCAAAATACATTTACATTAACATCAAAAATATTTTCCTTGTGCATTTTCTCTCCAGAACACCAGACTCCCCTGCTCCGAGGACGCACCAGGCAGGGGATGCTCCGGGGTGGCCGCAGCCCTCCTGCCACGGTCCAGCCCTCACTCAGCCCCATGGCTCACCAGAACCCCTTCCCTCCTCTCCAGTCCCACCATCCCATTCTTCTCCCTGTGCCCCACCAGCCCCCTCAGCTTTCCCCACCTAAATGCCATCTCCTTATGGCAAAACACGATGCCTGATGTTTTGGGAGTCTCTCAAACTGGTTTATTGCCCGGTGCTGGTGGTGCAGGGTTGGTTGTTCTTTAAAGTGTCCCCCTTTTTGCTTTCCTGTACTGAGAAGACAAGTAGTGCAGAAGCTGATGAATGGAGCTGTGTACAGCGAAATTTGTGGATTGCTTTTTTTTTAACCATAATTGAGTGAAGCACACGGAAGCAAGATTCATTAAAAGGCAGCATATTGATTATTGTTATGACTCTTATACTAGGATACTGGAGCTAAAGCTAGCAAGCCTGATAAGATAAACTAAGTCCTATTTACTGTATTTAACATTATCTGAACATACTGAGCCTTAATTAATGAGCAGATTTTCATTTCCAACCTCAGTGGATTATGCTAATTTATAACAAGGTGGTTCCTGTTTTGTTGGTTTTTTGATGTGGTTTTTTTTTTGTTTGTTTTCCTTCCCCCCCCCCCAACTAATAACCCGTGTCACATTTTTCCCATCTGAGGAAGATTCCTCCCCAGGCACGGTCAGTCTCAGCCGGGTGAGTGTTGGGCTCAGGCAGGGCCGGGCATCCCACCCGGAGCCGCCGCCGCCGCTCGCCGTGCCCGGGATCAGCTGGGCTGTCAGCGCTGACCTGTGCTGCAAATTCTACCAATAATAAGGACTTTTGGAAGGCTGATAAAGATGATCTACTCTAAAACATCAATCGAAAAGAGTCTCAGAGTTTCAAAAAGAAAGCTCACAGTGAAATGAGCAAAAAGCATCGGAAACCAAAACGGCAGGATGCAGTCTCGGAGCAGCAGCATCCCTCGGAGCAAGCTTGGAACCTAACGCCGCAGCAGTGTGGTATGAGTGTGTCTTTAGTCCTTGGTTGCTAAATAACTTCCAATTTTTTTTTTCATAGTGACAAGTTTCCGGTTTCTGGCTGTGCTGCTTGACTGTCAAAATATTTCTTTGGCATCCACAAAATTCTTTGACTGATCGGTTTGACAATTGCAAGGTTTTTTTTGTTTAGTGATGGGTTTAACCGGTTGCAGAAGTGTCCCAGGTTTGGGTTGGTTTTATTTGTGATTTTTTTTTTATTTATTTTTTAACATTTTTTTATTTTTAAAAAACAACAACAACAAAAGTTTCAGTGAAACAAACAAGAAAATCCCACTGACCCTCCCCATCACTAACATATTTTAAAAATAATAAAAATTAAATGACCACAACAACAAAAGTTTCAGTGAATTCCTTTTTTTTTTTTTTTTGTTCCCTGAGCTCACACTGGGGTCACTCCAATAAAACACGTAGCATGACTTAACTGTGACCTTTGAAGCCAAAACCGAAGTAATGGTGCAATTAAGTGCAAACATGGAAATTCGCCTGACTTATAGGTAACATGGGCTTTTAAACAACATTTAAGGCTTATTGGGGACATTTTATGCATTAAATTATTGTAATATTTATAATGTCAGCTTCTGTGAATCACCCCTCCACAACGAGTCAACAGCTTGTAACCAGGATTTAAGGAATAAAAAAAAAAAAAACAAAAAAACCCCAAAGGATGGAGAGGAATAAATTCACCATTTCCACTGTAGCGTTTTGTAGGAAAACACAATGGTGATGCCAAGGGTTGCCATTTCCCCTCGGTGATGGCACGTTTGGCCTCGGGGCCATTGTTTTGGTGTGCAAAGGGGATTTCAAACGTGCCAGCCCGCCATGGTGGGACCACGGCAGCGTCACAGAGAAGCACGGGCAGAAAAAATCGCTCAACTTCCCAGGTTACACCAACCCTGACTCCCCACGGTGGTTTTAAAGGATGCTTTTCTCCTCCACCCTGCCCCACGTTTCCATTTTCCAGCTTGCTGCCAGCTGATCCATTCACCTGAGTAAATCCCTTCAATTTTCCTGACCTCAATGGGGGCAGGGATGGGGGGAAATTTTGCATCCTGGCCCCTGGACGGATCCCGACCAGATGGAAAGGTGAGGGGAAAAATAATGACCGAGGGGGTTTTTTTCCTAAAAATAGAAATGTAACATTGCTCTCTTCCACCCCAAGCGTTTTCCTCCAACAAGCTTTTTGTGCTTTAGTCATTAATTATTTTAGTATCGCTTATTTTGCTTCCTCGTCTCCGCACACACGGGCGGGAATTTCCCCTCCCACAGCTGATCACTGCCGGACCCTCTGCTCGCTCCCTGCTCTGAGGGCAACCGTCCCGGGCAGGAACCTGCCCCTCATTAAATAATGCCCGTTAATTGAACTGTCATCCCTGCAGAAAGCACGGGTACCGGCACCCTCCACCCTCCGGGCACCCTCGGCATCGGTCCTGCCGGGCGCCGGCTCGCGTTCCTGGGGAGTGGGGTCTGGCAGGGAGCCGGGGAGGGACCGCTGCTGTCACAGTCATCGATGTCGGTGAAGCTGAAGCTGTATCTCAGGCGTATCGAGAAGAGAAAGACAACAGTGCCGAACTTCCAACTATATACACATATTAAAAACCCCCCTCGCCGTGATACCAGGCAGAAATCGGACATGGCAGTTGGAACTGGGTTGAGGCCTCGTGGCGGGAGGAGTTAGGACGCCAGGATGCTCATCCTGACGATGTCCTCGCCGGCCGCGTCCAGCTGGCCCCGCTGTGCCCGGCCGCCGCGGGACTCCCCGTCCGAGTCGCTCATCTCGGCGTCGGAGAAGTATCCGTCCGTGTCGGCGTCGAAGCGACGCAGGGGAGCTCCGCCGGCGCCCTCGGGCTTGGGGGGCTGCGAGCGCCGCGCCCCCCGGCTCTCCTTTGGTAATTTGAACCGCACGATGGTTTTGGGGCTACCTACGGAGTCAGGCACTTTGGCCGCGGGGCTGGGCTCGGGCTGAGCGCAGCGCGGCGTCTCCTCCTCCTCCTCCTCCTCCTTGCTGACGCAGCCCCGTGTCCCGGCAGGGGCGTGAGGCTCGCTGGCTTTCTGGAGAGAGCCCTTCTTGGCCGCCCTTTTGGCCTCGCCCGTCCCTTTGCGGTCGGTGGGAAGCTTCGCCGCCCCTTTCTCCGACTTGCTCGGCCTGGAATCCAGAGCGAAGGGCTTGGCGGGATCATCCAACAAGTTGCTGGCGTTGGTAGTCCAGGGCTCCGAGCCCTCCGGGTGGCCCCCGCCCACAGCGGGGGGGCTGCTCCGCGGCAGCTTTTTCTTAGTGTTCGTTCTCGTTCTGCTTTTCACTTTCTTTGTGGCCTCGCTCTGCCTGAACGGGGACCTGAGGGAATGGTCCATCATGAAGCTCAGCAAGGTCTCCTCGTCCTGGAGGAGCTCCTCGGAGAGGCCGGGGGTGCTGTCCTCGTGGTGGGCGTTGTTGAGGGACCACTCGCTCATGGCCATGTTCTCCGCCGTGATCTGCACCGACTGCGCCAACCAGCTGTTGAAGAAGGTCCCGTCGATGGGGAAGGAGGTTGACAAGCCTGGAAAAAACAAGAATGGAAGATTTGCCTCAGAAGCCAGGAACATGCACATTGTCCTCCACCACTGCCGCCAGCTTCACCGAAACTCCCCGGCACCGGAGAAACACTCAGAAGGTCAACTCTAACACACCACACCAGGACAGAGGAGGGTTTACTCCAGCACTGATGGTGAATTTGGGGTTCACTGAGATCACAGCATGACAACCTGAGCTGTCCTTCACATGCCACACTCCATGAACCTCCCTGAATCCAAATCAAGCATCTTTCTTCAGCAAAGACGTCAAGCAATGACCCATCCCAGCATGGGGGCAAATACATCCCCGTGCAAAGGTGGCAGACAAACAATCCAAGCATACGCTGAAAAATTTGGTGACAGAGCAGGATTTTTGCTCAGGCAAGGGGTGACAGGTTCCCCAGGGAGCAGCTGCCACTAGGCCACCATGTGGGCCAGCACCAGAGCCAGGCAGCCAGTGTGGTGATGGGACTGGTGCTATATCTGCATGGGAGGCAGGTCTGAGAACATCTTGAGAGGTGAGGAGGCTGAAGAAGAGGAGCAGAGATTAAGACTGGAATGGAAAAAGCTGAAAAACTTCCTAATAATGATCTCTGAGAGCAAGAGTGAGCATTGTGGGCTGGACTGGGTCTAATTAGCAAAGGCACACACCTGCACAGGCACAAGCATTGTAATCCCAGAAACAGAAACCCACGGATTCAACATCAGAGCTGGTTTTATGGATGCAGGAAAAATGAGGTTTGATTTTGGATTTCCTTTGAAGCAGTCACTCTGGCAACAGAGAGGGAAAGAGCAGTGGCACGGGCAGGGTGAGTCACATCCACAATGTCTGCTGCTTGTGGTGACAGCTTTGCATCACCCTCACCTGTGAGCAACGATGGGATGTGACCCTGCACCTCCTGCACCTTACCATGGTCCTTTTGGAGGAGACAACACCCCACCCTGGCACCTGACCAGGGGCAGTACATGCCATGAGAACTCCCAGCCCACGTGCTGTGCTCACCATCACTGCACAGCACAGAGGACATGGGGGAACAGCCCTACCACGGGCTGGGTAAGTCTGATTTTATCCCCCAAAAGTGAAATCACACTCCAGCAGCACATCACAGGTTTTGTAACACGTTCTCCCAATCCTGGGGCTACGGGGGTGGATTTTACACCCCCTGCCCCACCAGGGACTGTATTTCAGTCCCAGTCTCTCTCACAGGAACCTGGATAATTCAGGTTGAGTTCTACAAAGGAGAGATGGAAGGTGTAACTCCACCGTGTACGTGCAGGAGGGATCAGGGGCTGGGACTCTTAAACCCTGCTCCCCAAAACAGGGAGTCTCCAGTGGCACGAGTCAGCTCCACACTCATAAAATCAGACTTACCCAGTTGTCCCAATACAGTTTCGTTGACTGATTTCCTTTTCTCTGTCTTCTCAGGACTATTTTTTCTACCATCTCTTCCTTTCCTTCTTGGGTCACTTTTCTTACCCTTTGTCCTCTTCCCAGTTTGTTCTGGCATTTTTTAGGAAAAAAAGGAAAACGCCGTGTGAGACGAGGCACCAGGGACGCTGCAGTGAACAAGTTCCCCTGGGGACACCCCACAGTGGAGACCTGGAGCAGACCTGCCAGCAACTCCAACACAAAGGGGGAACAACAGCCACTTTTTGGAGAGCTGTTAGGCTATGGTCTCTGTATTTCAAGAAAATCTGAATCCTGTAGGTTATATAAAAAAGAGGTTTGGGCCTTGGAGAGGAGCTTGGCAAGGCCACAGGAGCAGCCCCACTGAAGGCAGGGGACTCGCTGGAGACCCTGCAGCCACCAAGGTGCCCCCCTGGACCAGGGCTTTGGGGTGAGGACTCACAAAGGAGTAACCCCAAATCCTGCTTGGACACCTGCCAGGAGGCTGATCTTGATTCGATTTGACCTTTCAGCAACAGCAGCTGCTCACACTCAAACTGTGCAGGGGTGATAAAAAACCCAAAATTACATAAGTACATGGAGCAAGAAAGATGACCAGGATTGCCCATGGAAAGGCAGGGAGCAAACTCTTAGCTATGCAGACATTCACCTAAAAATTAGCATTTCCTAAATGGCTTTGAAGCCCTACTGGATTTATTCCTCCTGGGTAAACAGGACAAATGCCCTATGAAAATACAACCTGCATTGCCAAGTAAAATACTTACAACAGTTTTTACTTACTCCATTAGGCCAATGTCCCTCAGAAGTCCATGCTAAAAGTTCTATTAATTTTCAGAGGGGGAAGGATATTGCCCTTAAACCAAAATGTGGGTGGCTGATGGAAGTGGACGTGAGACAGGCAGTTTTTCAGAGGCTGGCCCATAGGCTGAGCAATGATTTTAAGGAAGAAATCGGTTTATTGTGTCAGCCAGCAGCAAATCCTCAACAGAGCTGGCAGAGAGGCCAAGGAGTGGATGGGTCAGAGGGAGTAACCCCAGCTCTCCCCTTGCTGTGGCAGTGGAAATGTACTGGGTGAGCTGGGGAGGGAATTTACATTGCACCTGCCTGAGTCTGGATTAACAGAGGATTTACAGTCCTGGGGTTGCCAAGCCAGGAACCCCTCCTGACCCAAGGACTCGCAGGAAGAAAGAAAAGCAAAGGCAAACCTGGTATTTGCCGCGTTCCTGCCAAGTAACGGGAGGAAGGCAGACACATTTTTCAGTTCCCTTACAAAATCAAAATCTTAACTTTGTTTAGACAGCACAACGGGGCTGAAGAGAAACCCGAGCAGCACTTTCTGAAGAGGAACCTGTCAAAATAGTAGCCGTGTTTCAAAGCCAGACAGTGTTTACTTTTCACTCCGTGCAAGAAAAATACAGGGAGGAGAGGAGGGTTCATTTTACACGGGCAGTTCTCACTGATTTTATTAAGAATCTCCTGCTTAAATGATCATTTGACAGCGGGAAAAATAAACCCCTCCTGTTCTGAGTTTTATGTGGGAGCCAGTCCAAAAAAACCTTTGTGCCAAAACCATCTTTGGAACAACCCCAACAGATCTTGGTCGATGGCTACTGTAACAGCAGTTAAAAACTGGCCTCATCCGGCTGGAATAACTGAGACTTCTTCCTTTCTCCAAGGAACCCCAGGTATGGAGAGCAGCCCTGTCAGGAGCTGTAGGGGGGGATGGAACCATCCCCTGTTTACATACCAGTAAGTGCTTTGTAATGCTGGAAAATTCAGCAGTGAGTTATCCAAAGCTTTGGTCCCACTGGGTGCTGAGTATCTGCAGCTCTAGGTACCATCACCTGGCAAGGGAACTCCTCCCAAGCTCAGGAGACTCCATGGACTGATGACAAAAGGCATTCAGGTCCCTAATGTCCCCCAGCACAGGAAGGACCCAGATGCCCAAACCACCTGGAGATTCCAGGACCAAATCCCAGCAGCTGGGCCCTTTCTCTGGCAGCAGTGACTCCTGGGACCTGGGTGCCAGAGGGAGCAGTCAGTCCCTGCTCAGGCTCAACCAAAAAGTCCATCCCAGGAGAGACAAGCAGCTCATCCCAGTGGGTTCGGAGTGGAAAACGAATGGGCAAACACCGGCCAGGTGGGGCAGGAGAGAAGAGCATCTGCATCCCAGGGTCTGAAATGATCCCTGAACATCAATTCCCAGCTGGGCCACCCTCTCAACTGGGAGTTTGTCTCTGATCACTCACCTTTGGGCAGAACAAACATCATGGGAACAGCAGCCGTGCTTTTCCTCAAGTACGCATAACATTTTGGGGAAAGGCAATTGCACAACACCGGCACTGGGCAGTGCAGACAATCTCGAAACACCATCAGAAGAGCCCCAACACAGCTCCCCATCATTGGTTGGCATCTACGCCCCACTGGCAAGGCCCTGGCTCAGCTCTCCTTGGGAGGATTTGCCAGCTCCTACCCCATCACTGCATCAGAGACAGGGTCAGGCATGCACTGGTGGTCAGACTGCCCAAGGCATTTTGGGCAACACAGGTCCCCAGGGGCATTTCCAGCTATCTAACACCTTGTCTGCAAGGGAGGTGAGCTCAAAAACCCTTCCTGGCACACTACCCTGCACCTGTCTCCTTCTGAGAGCTGCAAATGATGAACTGGGTTCACCCAGCTGAACTGAAAAGCATCCCGAGGTCCCCTGAGATCCCCCTGAAGGCCAGAGAACCCAGGAGCACAGTGCATGGCACCTGCCTTCAAGATCTGAGCTTGTTCCTCTTGTCTTCTATCTGTATTCCTGAGCTGGATCTCCCACCTCACCACCCCAGCCAGCACATCACTGCTGGGAGCACCACCCAGCACAAACATCCCGGGTACAGGGAATGGATGTGCAATGCATGGTCTCCAGTTGGTGGGAACAGCTGGGAACACCACTTTGTGTGTGTTCAGGCTGGCTCAGTGAGGACGTAGAGCAACATGCAGTGTCACAGGGACCAGGATTTACAGGTCCCACAGCTCCCTGGAGAAACCCTGGGGTCCAGCCACCCCTGTCCCCATCACTGCCTGGCTTTGGCCATCCAGAGGAATTCACACGGGCCTGAGTCACAGGCACCTCAATATACACATCCCTCAGCCTCCAAAACTTCAGTGAAAGGAGACTTTTGTCAAGGAAAGCTCAGCCCAGACGGTTCCTGAAGCAACCCCAACCATGTGATGGTTTCAAACACAACTCCAAAGCCACAAACACAACAACCGTCGGAAGCGGCTGCCAAAGCGCCAGATGCTGCTGCTGGAAAAACTGTTCTGCAGCCATGGGGTCTGCTCTGCCCTGCCACCGAAGGGAAAGGAGGAGGAGGAGGAGGGAGCAGGAGCTGTGGGCTCCGGCACTGCTTGTGCGAAAGGAAAAAGAAGTAGGACAAAAGGAAATCAACTTTATTTCAGTTGCTCAATAAAAGTTGCCAGAGGCTTTGCATGCAGCAGCATGATCTCCACTAATGGGTACGTGGAGCAGAGAGCTGCAGCCCTCCAGAGCTGAAGGAGCTGGTCTCCTGGAGCAACAGACCCCCCACCAGCAGCTTAACCCTTGATTCCTGACAGAGCCAAAGGAAAATGAGAAGAGCCCGAAGCGAGGCTGCCACTGGGCCAGGGAACCAGCTGCCAGGGATCAGCCCCGTGCCCAGGATTTACCATCTCCTCCCAAACAGCTCCAGCTCCACGAAAGGCACCAAACACTGCCTCAGCATCCCCACCCAAGCAAATGCTTGGTCCTTCTGACTGATTCCCAGGGAGAAGAGGATCAAGAGGGGTCTGTGAAAACAGGAGCTCCAGCTCACTGTCATCCAGGGTCTGGCCTTATTTTTGTATTTCTGAGTCAACACAGGAACCATGTGTTCCAAAATAACACATCAGGGGAGGGGGTACCTCTGGCTTCCTTGGGGTGGGGAGCTTGGGCACCCAACTTTGGCTTCAGAGGATGGCAGGGACAGTGGCTGCAAGACCAAGCTCTGGGAAGCAGTACTGACCTGGGTAAAGATCCTTCTCAATAAGCTTCATCTGGAGATGGAAGATCTGCTCCTGCAGTTTACAAATGGTGTGTTTCATTTTCTCCCGTCTTGTCACCATGTAACAGAGATTTCTTACCTACAGAAACACAACAAACAGTGTCTGGTTTAGGCAGGGTCAAAACAGGTCCCCTCAAGTGGCGCTGCTTCTGCTGCCCAGGGAAATCCCCACTCCCTGGGATTGGGTCCTCTTCACCTCACCATCATCTGTGTTCCACCAGAACTCCTACCAGGGCCCTTTGGGTGAGTCAGGACTAGCAGTGAGGGCTCCTGATCCAAACTGTGGAATACATATGGGAAAAAGCATGTGGTGAATGATTCCCAGCCTAAACCTCTCTGTTCTGGCTCCAACAAACAAGACCTCAATGGGGGCAAGGAAGGCTGCCTGGCTTCTCCAGCACGGGCACTGGGAAGTCTCAGAAGGAAGATGCTGTAGAGGGACCATTATAACAGAGTTCTGGAGGTCCAGCTCCAAGACCCTGAGCACTGTGCTGAGCCCACCCAGCAGCTGCATCATGCACATCCCTGTCACAGAGACCTGCACCAAAAAATGCCAAACACTCAGAAGCACCTTGGTACCCTGAGTCAATACACCAGTTCTCACCCACAAATTGATCCTTCTGCAGGGAGGGAGACCCTCTTCCCACAGCCAGTGCAGGGAAGGGGCAGAGCTGGGATGGAGGTGTCCATATCAGGCTAAGGACACTGAAAGCCTTACAGAGCTGTCTGATGCCCTAAAGCAGGTACCAGGACAAAGCATAGAAAACACAGCAAAATACCCCAGTGATGCTGGCCCAGGTCAGCAGCCAGTGCAGCCCCCGACCTCAAATCTGGCCCCTCTATTTGGTTACTCACCCTTGCTCCACATCTACCTGCAAATCCCTGCTGCATTTTGTCCCAGCCCAAGGAATTTCATTAACCACGGTGCTGGGGTTGGAACCAGGTGATCTTTAAGGTCCCTTCCAACCCAAACCAACCCGTTCTACGATTACCTGAAGCTCTAAACACAAACAGCAAAGCACAAGATGCAACTGCTCACACGCAGCAGTGGCTAAACCCTGCTTATCACACGGGGCTGCTGATAAAAACACCCCAGCAGCATAAGATGACAGAGCTGCTGCTGATACCTGCTGGCACCTGCCTGCTGACGAGTCTCAGTGCCACGTTTTGCCAGCCCTGAGCATGGGTGGCTGCAGAGCCAGGCTCTGGCACCACGGCTGCGGCGGGCACCGAGGCTCTGGGAGGAAGTGGAGGCGTTTGGCTGTGGGACAGAAATGCTAATGGCAGCTAACAGGATTTGACAGCATTTACTCAGCTTTCTGATGCTCTGAGAGAGCAAAGCTGCCTGTAATAAGGTAAGGAGGAGGTGGCCTGAATGGGGGCGTGGGATTCACGGCAGGAACGTGTGTGGACACGTCCACGCCCATGTGTGATGCTGATGTCTTCAATTCCTCCCCCCTCTAGTCTCCAAACCCCTCTCTGCAGAGTATTGTCAGACTTGGGGGACTGTCCCTAGGTGGTCAGGAGGCTTTGTGCCTCTCACAGTGACACTGTCCATGCCTACCTGGTATCTGCCACCAAAGGCTGTGAGGGCAAAAGGACGACTGCAGCTGTCCTTTAATGACACTGGTCTTACCTAAGGACAATTTGGGAATGCTTAGGGATATGGGAGAAAAAGCTGTTCTTTTTTTGTTGTTGCTGTTGAATCCCCTAGCTGTAAATACAAGGCAGTGAGCTTTGTAGTGTATTTTACTCTGTTATATCTTTTTTTCATTCTGGATTGGAGAAAACATCAAACTAAAATTTCTTTATGAAGAAAACAACTGCCTCTGGCAACCTGAACCTCCAAGTGTTTGGCGGTATCTCTTCTCTATGATTTGATATTCCTGGAAGAAAACATTACTTTAGCTTTGCTTAGAGACTGCTGGTATTTACCCACACTTACACAGCTCAACACCACCCAGTGCTGCTTCCCCAAGCCAAGCTTAGATGCTGGTGTGAAAGCCTGGAAACTACAGCTTTTTGTTAAAGTTAATTTAAACACTCAGCCCTTGGGAAAAAGCTTTAAAAAAAGGCAAAGAGTGTTAAAAAAAGGCCAAAAAGAAAACAAGGGGAATGTATTAGGATTCCCAGGCAATAGGTTAAATTTGCTGACACTGTGAAGTGCAGAAACGACAGGAGTTAAAAAATGGCAGAGGGAAACACCATCACTCTGGATGTCCCCATGTCATCTACTCTGCTGCTTCTGCCTCCCCAACAACTCTCCTGGATCCACTATTAGTCCTGAAATCACACCCAATTCCAGATTAATTGCTGAAAACATTAAAATCCAACTTGATGCCCCACAGACACCCTCTGAAAGTCCTCCCTCCATGCTGATTGTCTCCAATCCCAATCTGACGTGAAGCAGGGTGGCTGTGACTGGCACTGCCAGGCAGGATCAGACACCTGGGATGCACTGGAAACAACTGGATTTAAACCTGTATCACCCATATGAGCACTGGACTTTGATCCAGCTGGTGTTTACTGTTCCACTCTTGGAAGTAGAACAAACAAACAGCTCTTCCACGGCCAGGCAGTGAAACCTGGCAGGGAGTTGCTAAGCAGAGGCTGAACACCGATGGGCATACCCCACAAAGCCTGGAGGCAACTCTGGAAAATGGGAAATCTGGTAAAACACCGAGTTTTGACACAAAGAAATCAAAGAGAAGCCGCTGTGAGCAAAGCGTGGTACCCAGGGGTGCACAGTGGTTCACTGCAGCTGGGAAAGCCAAGTTGGGAACAAGGGGAAGCAGTGGGAGGCAGAGCAGCCTGGTTTAGATTTACAATATGGAGCAGATGAAGGGGGAAAAGTGAGTTGAACTTGTCACCCTCAGATGGACAGCTGCAGCCTGTTGCCATAGCTTGGTGATGGAGACCCACTAACGGTGGCAGCCCCACACAGAGAGGGGAATGTGAGGGGGTAAGGCAGGAACAAAGGAGGGGCAGACTGGCAGAGTGATGGAAGTAATGACCACAGGGATGAAGGCAGACAGGACCACAGAAAAGAGATGAATAGCTTCAAATCCAATTGCTTTTACATGGGAGAAGGCTCTCAGGCTCCAGAATGCACCTGGGAGGTGGGTGCAGGAAGGAACCAGGGCAGGCTGGTCCAGAGCTGAAACCCCACCTGGACATGAATGCAATGCCCACCCACACCACCTTCCCACTCATAGGTTATACTCTGCCACAGACCCTCAGCAGCTTGGAGAGAGGGTTCAGGGACATGCAGGGGCAGCATACCCACCACCTTCACCTCCCAGGGAGCTGCAGCACCCGCAGCCCCCTTCTCAGGGAACCACAGCACCACATCCATTGAGTCAAAGCAATGCTGTTTTCCTGCTTTCCTCCTTCCTTGCTCCCAGAGACCCCCTGAGCCCTTCCGTGGCTTTTGCACCCTGAGTGGGCAGTCAGGCAGGGACCTGAGCAAGGGCCATGGATTCACCCCTCTGGCAGAAGGAGGAAAGGGGGGACCAGGCAGGGCTTGGGTCTTAAGCAGAGGAGGAGAGGGAGCTTGGGCTCTGCATGCCAGGCTGAGCACCCCTGCCCTGTCTGTCCCTGTCTCACTGCTCCCCTGTGCTACATCCATGTGCTCCCCGGCAGCACCACTACTGTACCTGTCCCCTCTCCAGGTTCTGTGTGTGCTTCTTCCCCTGTGCTTCTTCCCCTGTGCTTCCCTGTGCTTCTTCTCCTCGCTGCCTCTCACCTTCGCTGCCACTCCTCATCTCCAGCCTGCCTCTGCCCCATCCCTGCCTCTGCCCTCCACACAAGCAGCCTGGAGGGGTGCCCCCAGGGCATCACATCATTTTTAGTGTCTTCAGCAATTAATCTGGTGGAAGTGGTTGTGATTTTGGGGCTGACAGCGGTGCAGCCACAACAGCCAAATGCACAGAGAGCAGCACGGTGCAGCACCAAGCCCAGCCCGGGGAGCTCCAGCACCATTTGAGCCCTGCTGCTCCACCAGTGCCCTCACCCAAAAACCTGCTCCCTTCCCCTGTGGATGGGAGGATTCAAGGACGCCCTGCACCACGGGGACCTGCAGGTGCCTGCATGCTCTGTCTGCATCCTCTGGCATGGCTCTGCCTCCGCCAGCAGCTCCCGGAGGAGCCGACCCACTTTTGGCTGCGGCAGGGCAGGGAATGCCCAATCAAACTGGCCCTGCTCTCACTCCTGCCTTTCACATGTCTTGGATGTTTAATGGAAGTAAATAATGATGTGTTCCTGTGCCTTGCTGCTGGAAAGCATCTGAGAGGCAACACAGGGTAATTTTTAGCTTTCAGACTATTTAGACACAGTGGACATAAACTGCAGCATCATCTGCCTCCCACCCACCCAGCCCTGCCAAGGCACTCTCCCTGCACACATTTGTTCTTTTGAGCCCCCAGCGGAGACCAACACTAACTTACTCCATCAGTGTCAGTGTTTTGGCAGGGGTGATGTACACACACTGAGCACTGTTATGTTTCTGAATGAAGACGGAAGGACACAACTTTTAAGGGGGTCAGACTGAGCTGGGGAGAACAGGGCTTATGCTGTCTACAGTCCCCATCACACACTACCGCAGCCCTGGTGGAGCATGTGGGGTACACGACTGAAGGAAAGGCTGTACTCACCCTCTCCAGGTCTTGCCTGAGGTGCATGAAGAGCTTTAAGCGTCGGTAGAGAACATCCTGCTCTTGCTGAGCCAAGTTGTCCACTTCATCCGTTTTTGGTGTCAGCAGCGGTTTGTTGGAATTTGCTTTCCTCTTTAGCTTCCAGTACTGGTAGACAAAGTCCACCAGCGATTCGCTCAAGTCGAGGTTCTCCGCCACCTCCGAAGGCTTCACGAGTTCATAGAAGTCCTCCTCCAGCTGCTGGAGCTTCTGCTTCCGCAGCGTCACCTTCTCCAAGTCCAGCTGGGCTTGGTCGGGCTCTGTCCGCGCCTCCTCGGGCAGTTTGGTGGCACCGGTGCTGTGCTCGAGGCAGAAGGACTTGAACTTCACCTCGTCGTTGTCTGCCAGGATCGTCCGCATGTCCAGGTTGTGGTCGAAGGCGCAGGTGACGTGGAATGCAGTGACGCAGGCGGGCATGGAGCACTGCGGGACAGGGACAGGGCTCAGGGCCAGGCAAGGCACCGGGGCAGGGGGACACCGACCAACACAGCGGGCAGCAAGTGCTTCCCAGGAACCCAGGAGAGCCACCTGAGTGACACCTGTCCCAGGGACGGGTGCTCCACGACACACACTCCCATGGAGAACACCGGTACTGCCCCAGCCGGGGACACCCGAGAGCCCAACACCAGAAACTCAAGTAGAACCCCAGGGTTCAAAAGGTACCACTGGGCACCTTCCCACCTTACCTTCTTTAATCCTCTGTGACAGGCCCTGCTCATCTCCCACCCACCACAACCAGGAGCTTCCGATGCTTCGTCCAACAAGACATGTCAAAAACCAAAGACCAGCACCGGCCTACAGGATGCCCCAGGAATGTCAATTTGTTTCTCCTGATGGAGAAATGCTCATCTTTATTTCACCCTTAAGCTACTCCCCTCTCTTACCACATCTAAAGCCAATATGCCATTTTTATTGGAAGCACAGAGAACATGGCAAAGTTTATTTGTGAACATGGGATCTAAGCAGCAGCCAATGCTCCCAAATGCCTTCCTCCTCTGGAAATTATACACTCTAACTAGCTCCATTTAAAAAAGAAAAGAAAAAAAAAAAAGGCAACCAGAGCAAAACATGTGGCTAGAATGTCATCAAACTTGTATCAGATTAATTTTTTAACCATTTCCCTAACTTACCTCAGGTTTAAAACACTTTGGATCCCACAGGCAACAAATCTCAGCCTGGTGTCCTACAGAGGAACCCCCACCAGCCAGCACTGAGCCCGTGTCCACCTCAGCACCTTCTCCCCCTCTACTCATTAACTGTTTTTTAATGGCTCATAGTGTCAGGTAATTATTTCAACCATAACCCATAAGAAATCAGGCTATTCCAGCTGCTAATGACCAGTTAAACTGCAATAATGAGACATTTTAAGTGGGCTATTAACCGTAGGCACCATTTTGGAGTTAACAGAAGAATTGTTCTTGTGGAGGATGAAGATGCACTTGTGGCCTGAAGGACTAGGTGGAGGCAGGTGAAATTTCCTGGATGTCGATGACAAACCACTCAGTTTTACTGCACTTTAATTCTCAAAAAAAAACCTAAATACATTCTGGCAGTAATTGAGGAGCAGAAGTTTTACAGCTTTTAATCTCCACCCCATCCATCAGCCCTGAATCCTGCTCAGGCATCCAGGTGTCAACTTTTGAAATTGCTGCTTTTAGATATTTTCCTTTGGCTTTTTTTAATGAATCTGCTGGTGTTCATGCAGCTGCCAGGGCCAAGAAAAGCACAGGCAAGCATTGTCCAAGTCCTCCACTTACAGGGCTCTCCAGCCCCTGTTCCAAAGCCTCCAAGACCAGTGGGAAGAGCTGGATGCAGCTCTGGCTGTACCAGCACGGCTCCAGGCAGTGATGCTGAGTACTAACTCCTGCAGGCACCACACACAAGTGGATTATGAACTCTGACACCCTGTTAAATATGGCCATTTGGTCCTAACTTCAGTCTGAAATTGTTCACAAAAATAGCTGATAACTTGCAAAGCTCAGCTCCCTCTGCTATGCTGCTGGTGCCTGGCATTGTGAGGGACCCACTGGTGCTCCCCGTGCCAGCCTGGGGCACCCACCACCACAGCAGGCAGCGGGAGCCCGCCCTACCACCCTGCCCATCCCATGGGACAAGCCCTGTCACAGCCTCCCACATGGCTGAAGCACTGGCTCCACTCTCCAGTATTTATTTTTGGCATCGAGGGAGGGACAGAGGAAGCCCAGCCTGACTTGCAGCTTCCAGATTTACTCAGGGCAGTCAGTATATCACCTACTGGCTTTTAAAGCACACAGAGTGACGTCCCTTCCCTCCCGTTTCTGCCACCAGTGCTAAAAACAGCATTAACAACACGTGTCTTCTGCCAGGACAATGTCCTGCTAACAGGAATGGCCATCACCCCACCTTAGGAATAAAGTAAATCCAGTGACATCCGTCCTGGACCTCTCCTGTGACAGATGGCAAGCAGTATTCATCAGAAACCGTGCCCAAAATGCAAACAGAAAATAATTAGGCAGCTCAGCTGACAGGGCAACAAAGAAAGGTACCCGGTCGGCCACAGCTACTGAAGGACCTTGGATAAACTAACAATAAAAACATATTGATCCATCCCAGAACGGCGCTGGAATGAAGCCACTGGTGATGGCAGGGAGGGATCTGCCACCCAGAATAAACCAGGCTCAAAAACTGGCTTCGTTATTGATCGTGCTTCGCTATCTTACAGCACCTCCCATTCAAGGATTTCAGCATATTGCTTATCCAGGCAAATCCATCCCCAAACACAGTTCCCAGAGAGAGAGGGTGAAAACTGCCCCAGAGATTAATGTGGGCTGTCAATTAGCCCGCAAATCACTCTTACTGGGAAGAAACAGAGGGATGATTTCAGTTGCCAAGGAAATTCAAACAGAAGTTCAGCAGCTTGCAGTGGTGCTCTGCTGCAGTTTGGGGCCGGAGGGGAAGGAAGCGGCTCCTCCAACAGACCTGCGAGGGGAGCTCGGGAAGGAAAAATTAATTACCGGTGCTGAACGCCGGCCAAGCCATCAGAGACAACACTTCTGCATCCTTACAGAACTGCCATGTGATTTTCTGTGACCACAGATGGTCTGGATGCTGGCAGAGCCTCTCAGCCGAGACGGCCACTGTCGGCCTCCCAGACACCCTCCCAGGATGTGGGGCAGGGGGTGGCAGGGGGGCACACAGGCTGCTCTTCCCCTGTGTCACCCTGTGTGCTTTCAGGCACAACCAGAGGACAGCTTTGGGAACCACCACACCGGTTACCCCAGTGGATGGGGACCAGTGGCCCAAGCAGCTCAAGGGGAGTGGGCAGCAGCGGGTAGAGGAGCAATGACGGACAAATGAGTGGTGGAGGACATTTCCAAGGGCTTTTTCTCCAAAAAACAACAAAAGGTAAGCCTGAAGATGATGACAGCAGAAGACTGTGCCCTTTGGAGAAGCCTGCCAGCAACTAACAGAGCCCTGGCATTCCATGCTGCCTCGGTTACCACTTCCTGTCTCTCTGACAAGTGAGGAAGAGGGAGCTGGGTCCCAAAAAAGCATGGTCAGGACTCGGCTGCACCAGAGCCTGGCTCCTGGCACTCTCTTTTCCACCTCAGCAATGCAAACAAGAAAATTCCTGCTACATACCGAGCTCTCTGGCATCTCCTGATGTCTGACCACAAGAACCACCATGAAATAATGACTTCCCCTTAACAGGAGCTAGGGAAAGGGTGTCTCGAGGACTGCACAGTGTCCAGGAGCTCTGGCTCAGCTACAGCCACACCGAATTACACTGGGCTCACAGCTCTGTACCAGGAAGCAAGGGATGAGTTACATACAAGCAGCAAGGGCAGAGGCATCGAGAGCAGTGGGGAGCCCTTCCTCAGGCTTCCCTGGGTTTGTTTCCCTTTCGATGGACAAATTTGGATGGGGAAAAACACCTCCACGCACAGAGGTGCCTGTGCAAAGATTTCTCACATTTGTCTCTGCAAATGTGGTTCAGGTGGGTGTTTTCTTAAGCTGTGGTGCTGCCTCTGAGCATCTCATGCCCTGTTGGGATGAGTCTTCCCCTCCTCCAGTCTGCCTCCCAGATTCCACCTTGGCAAAACCCAGATCCCACTGCCCACTTGGAAAACCCCCTCCTAGAAGAAACGTCCTTCCTTCCCCAGACCTGCCCACCTGCAGCACCTGATTCCTGTTCCCAAGAATAAACACCCAGTGCTTTTGCAGAAAACAACCTTCTCCTTTCAGAGCTGGGTCACAAACCCGAAATGCTGACAAAGGTAGATCACACCTGCATAAACAGGCACTAGCACAAAGTATGCTCCATAAACATAAGCTTTCAAAACAGAGCTCTGTACCACTGAAGAGTACAGAGCATATTTATTTATCTATGGGTGTTCATTTACCCCATAAATCCTTAAATAAAGGCACTGCCTACTTTTTTTTTTACTTCTCCCCCTTTTCCTTGAAGCAAAACCAGCCTGCACACGCCAGGGTGGCCTCGGCAAATGCTCCAGTGACAATTTCACGAAGACTTATAAACTGTGAACTGCTGGCACATGAGACAAGAAGGCTCCTGTTCCATCTCAGGTGACCTTTAATGCAAATCCACCCAGCCCCCGGGATCTCGTGGCTCCCGTGTCATGCTGGCGCTAAGAGGATGAAGCCTGAGAGACGCTGAATTCTTTTTGATGCTGCCAAGCCTGTTTGCCTCCTTCCCTGCCCCTCTGTTCTTTGAAAGCAGTTGCCATTCTGACACAGTATCTCCATCTGGCAGGGTGAATAAGCATCCAGAGCCATCAAAAAAGAAGTGAGTCAACGCTACAGATTTAAAGGAGTATTGTGAAATTTCGTTTCAAACTACGGGGATTGCTTTTAAATAGCTCCCTTTAAAGGATTAAACCCAAGACGATGGCATAAACACAGTGGAGCCTGCAGACCTCCTATCCCTGATGTCCTTCTGCAAACAGGCAGCTGTTCTGGTCCCCCATCATCACCACTGTGTACACCAACCTCCCTGGTGCAGCTCGTGCTGCTGTACCAGAGATGATCCCTTGGGATTGCTACACATCCCAAACTTTCTCTCCATTTTTCAAAGCTTAAAGGCTCTTCCATTTCCCCCTGCATGCCAAGGCTGCTCCAGTGCCTGCTCTGCCAATGGAAGCAACTGGCACTGTAGATGCTGATGGGTTGCAGATGCTCCAGCCCATCCCCAGGGATCACCAGATCACACTGGCCAAGCAGGGGGAAGGAGGGGGAATCAGGGGGTTCAGCAAGGCTCCCCAGATGCTCTCACACCAAGTGTGCTGCATTTGGGATGGGAGCTTCTACTCTTTGCTCCCCAAGTAGAGGTATCACATGGTGTGAAGCTCTGTTCCACTTTTGCAACAGGAAAGCCCAGAGCATCCTGCTTTCCATCTGAAAAGAGAATGTCTGCCCTCCTGCTGCAGGGAGGGCAGGCAATCAGATGTCTGCAGTAGTTTGGTTAGGTGTGGCAAAACAGAAAATGTGGAAATGCAGTACATGGTAAACACTTTATTTTCCAAGCCAGCAGGCTAGTGAGGACTCTCCAACCCGGGGGTTCCGTGGGATCCCCCCAACTGAAACCCCAAGTGTTTGTGAAATACTTGGGCTGTGTATCTCACGAGCATCTCACTTTCCTCGAAGCTTCATGGAAGCTCTTTCTGCTGGAAATTCCTGATCCAAATCAAGGTCATTTGCAGTCCCAGTCATTAGTGTCACTACAGCAACATCACTGTGTTATGCAAAGAAAGTTAATCTACATTTCTAGCACTCAATGCATTAAGTGATTGCAAACAACATCTGATGATGCCTGACAGGTTCTTGTTGTCAGGTTTACTCAGAGCAGAAATAAGCCTTTGGCCAGACTGTGTCCTCCAGCACCTCCAGAACCTCCAGTGGCTGATACAGGCACAACCCTGGAGGTCTGAGTGTCTTCAGTGCCAAGCTACATACCTGAATACATGTCCCAGTGCATTCCTTGCAGAGGCTGCAGGACAAAGCCCATCTGCTTGCTGGGATATGTGAGATCTTCGTAATGGGTTCCATTTTTTCAGGACATCCAATGCTAACCTGGCCATGAGACAGAAGACAAGTTGTAAATACTGGCTACCATCCCACATCTCCTACAAGTGGGTGTCTGTGGCAGTCTGAATGAGGGAGGGATTACATTTATTGATTTTTGGGATCAGTTGCAATTTTGAAAAAAAAAAAACAAACCCAAACCCACATCTGGATGAAACAGAAGGAAAAATGTATGTTGGTGTTTCCTCTGAATTAATTCCTCCCGTGGATGTTGCTGCGTATCTCAAATGGGCACATGAAATTAGCTTTACTCTGCTACACAGAGCTATGCCCCCCAGCTCTGTGCCCTCGCCCCCCAGCTCTGTGCCCTCCCTCCACAGGGTGCCCCTTGGCTGCTAATTAAACACACAGTCTGATGACTGCCCTGCATCGCTCTGGCACAGCTTGACGAGCCAAACTGGGTTTGCTATTTTAGACCATTAATGAATGGTCTGGGCCGAGACCTGAAACCAGGTCTGTGCCCAGCCACGTGTCATGAGGAGGCTGCAGAACATCTTACTTCAGGAATCCATAAGGCACAGCTAACGTGGACCCATTTCGTCCCGCTCCGCGTGGGCTTCAGCGCTCCCCCTCTCTTGGGGCACAGCAGACACTTGGGCTGAACTCCCAGGGCACAGGTCCGGCACAGCCAGCTCCCGATGGGGACCTTCAGGATGCCATAGCACGCCTGGGCAGACAGGAGGGAGGAGGGTTAGTCCCAGTAGCCAGGATGAGCATCCTCCCAGACCTCCTCCGTCCCTCCCACCTTTCTTACCGCCGCTGCCTCCCAATAAACAGCAGGCAAAGCCACAGACAGTGAGGTTAAGCTCTTCCTTCCTTACTACCTTCCCTGTTTTCACATGGATACTCGTGGCAGACCAATATGTCCTGGGCTTTAATTAAAAATTCCAGCCTGGGAGTGGGCAACCAGGCTGCTCCATCAGAGCACCCACCACCGGCAGCTCTGTGGTTTGGACATCTGCCCACTCATCTCCTGCCTGTTCCCAACCCATGACAACTCAGGGAAGTAAGAAATGCTGTGCAGAGAAATCCTCTGAGGTCACTGAGGGCTGAAAAGCCACAAGCCCATGATTGAGAAAGTTGGTCACACTGGTTACAGACCCAGAGCAGCCCAAAGAGGAAGCAAAAATAACTATGGAAAGGTAAAAAGGGGAAAACAATAGTCATGAATGTAAATTAGATGAGAGGAACCAAAAAGGGTGATAAATCTTAAGGATGACACATCTAAAGGAGGCAAATCTACAAATGGACAAATCTACAGCCAAGAGAGTGAGAACTGAAGGACTTGGGTCGCCCACGGAGCTCCCTGACCTGCTGTGGTAATGCAGGAGGCAGAGAAGCCAAAGTGTTTCATAAACATTTCTCTTCTGTACTTGGGGAAGAGCCAAATGATAAGCTAAGCTGTATCATATAATGATAAACTACTTTCCACTTTGACCATAATTCACGATTATATTAAACAGCTACTACTAAAACTAGACAGTTTTTAACCAGCAGGTCCTGATAACTCGCACTTAAAGGGTTTTCAGAGGGCGACACACACTGCCTTGGGCACTAGCACAGGGCTGTGTCTCTGTTTGAAGTGAGGAGATGTAATTAATTCTAGATCTGGCTGCTCTGACAACCCTGCAGAAGGCAAGCAGGCAGGGCTGACAAGGACCCCCAGCGCTGGTGGCTTCACGTTCAGCCCAGGCATTTGTCAGCTCCACTTCTACAAGTTTACCCCCAAAAAGAACAGCTTTTCATCCTGCTGCTGCAGGGCATTGTCACCATGAGTGACATTGCTGCTAGAGGGGATGGGGACAGAGGGGGCACACGGAGATGTGTGAGCGTGAGAAAAACACATCTTCGGTCTTTACTGGCCAAGAACAGACTTTAGAACATGACTTTAGGTTGCCCCAAATCATAAGTTGACTCTGATAGTGATTTCCAAGGGGAAAAAGCCACTTTATGAACAGATTATTGGGATAACAAGGAATTAAGGGAGGTAATATTATTGCTGTGAGTCTACATGGTTGAGAGAGACTTAACTGTGTGTTTCACAGCACCTCCAAATCTGGCAGATAAATCATCTCTGGAACAGAGTTTCATAAAGCACATGATTTAGTACCAGACAAGATTCAGCCTGATATGTACTACCAGGAGAGTAAACTGGCAGACTGATCTCAAAATCCAGGGGAAAGCAGGAATTATGATCAGGTGTTCATCTCTAGCAGATTCTTGGCTCCTGGTTATTTATTTCTAGTGGTTTTAGAGTGTCTGAAGGTGCAATTCTGCTCCTTAGGAGCAAATACTACAGGGCCTCTGTCCTGGACAAGGAGCAGCTCTACAAACGAGGTGCATTACCAGCTAAACACACTTTCCCAAGTCCAGCACCAGGCAAAAGGTGGAACAAGGAGCCAGAGGAATGCTGAACAGGAATGGAGCAGCTATTGCTATCACTGTCTGTCACGGGTGCAACATCACTGAGAAGGGGGTGCCAAAAAACCGGGGAGGATGCCAAGCCACAGACAAGCTTGGTGTGGCCCACGGAACAGAGGGTGGGCTCAGCCATGTGCCCACACCAGGGAATGGGAATTCAGCCATGACAGGACCATGGCAGGGTGGCTGGAAGCTGGAGGGGGATCGTTCCCATGCTGAACAGAAGTGTGACGCTGTCACTTCGAGAGCAGTGAACTGTGATTTAGCAGCAGGGGGTACAATTCCACCTCACTGGCAATTTTAGAACGACTGCATGTGCCTTCTAAAAGCCACGCTTCATAGGAATTAATTAATAGCAAGCCTCGTGGCTTGTTATGCAGATGAGATGATTACAACGATACCTTCTGGCACTGTAACCCAGCACCGTGTGGTCCTGAGCCCCTTCCCGATGGGATGCAGGATGTCAAAGCCTGTGGCACCAGCACCCCTATGCCCACAGGGAAGCATGGTCCCCAGCAGGTTTGGGATGTGGGGCAGGTTAGGTAAGAACCACGATGCCATGTAACACCCTGCACTGTGGCTCTGGCTTAGTGGCTTAGGGTGTAAATTGGGGCAGAGATTATATCAGGGGCAGCTTATGGGCTGGCACAGGGCTTAGGGCTGGACTCTGCTCCCTGAAAACAAGGGAAAATCCCTCTTTCAACAGCCTTGAAATCCACCCCACTGTGTCCCCTTCTGCAGCGCTGGGGCTGCTGCTGAGAGCAGAGCCCACAGGATGCCACAGCTCCCCCTGAGCCCCTGCTGTGGCACATGCCAGCCCTCAGCCTGACATTGCCACTTGGGCTGGTTAGAAAAGAATCCAACACAAAAAAAGTACCCCAACCCCAACCCTGAATCATTCTGGTATTTTGTGGGATCTGATTCACTGATGGAAACCATTCAAAACACCCACCTCCCACAACTATAGATATCTCCAGTGCTCTCCCACCTCCAGGAAGAGCTGATGGAAAACCTGCCCAAAAGATGAGCAAATGGCTCTCTTTAGAACTAAAAAAAAAAAACAAAACCCTTCACACAGAGGGTGAAGCCCAGGAGCTGCTGTCCCCCACCAGACGTTGCTTCCCCTCAAAGCACGACCAGTAAAACCTCCCTGGGCCCACGTGGGACCCAGAAGACCCTCACTTGGTTGCCTCCTCCTTGACAAGGTTTCCCCAAAAGCAGGAGCCCACAGGCCCCCCCAGCAAGGGCTCGAAGCATTTGCATTCAATTCTAAAAATAAAATTATTTTCCTCCAGGCAGCAAAATAAAATGAAATCCCACGCTCATGCAGCAGGGAAGCTGGGACAGAAACCCTGCAATGTGAGACAGAGCTGGTGGAGCGGGAAGGTCCTACCACCCCCCAGACAAACTGGAGGAGGAGGAGGCTGGGGGGGTCTGTGCAATCCCACCCCTCTGGTGAGTGCAGGGCTGCAGACCTACATCCCACCAAGCCACCAGCCAGTCCTGTACACGGTGCTGGGGTGCTAAAGGTCCCACTGCAGTTCAAAAAATGGGATAAAGAAAGAAGAATACGCATAGTAATGGATGAGGACACATAAAACATCACAGAGACCAGAGAATAAGGAGGAAGGAGAAATTCAGCCTCTGGCTGTGCATTTCTGTGGGCACCTAAAAAAGGGTTGGGGGTAAGAAAGTAAGAAAAGCAAGTTTGCTGACTGCCAGCTATCCAAAACCCCACTGCTACGCTCGCTCCACTGCAGCCGCCTGGGAATCCAGCAGGAAAGCTTAACAGGAGTCCAGAGCAGCCCAGGGCAGGGGGACAGTCGGGGTGGGAGGAACCCAGAGGAAGGTACCGGAGCATGAGGGGCTCACCTGGTGCACGCAGACGTTGCACTTGTCACAAAACACCATCTCGTTGCCGTCCTCCCCCTCGGGCGAGCGGCACACGTCGCACACCACGTCCTCGTCGTACTCGATGCCCAAGCCCTCCTCGGTCTCGATGGCGATGTTCATGTTCTCATAGCACATGGTCTCCAGCTCCTCCAGCACTCGCTCCAGGGTGATCTCGTCCAGCTCGGGCTTTTCTGCAAGGCAGAAGGCAGAGGATGAAGGTGAAGCCACCGATGCAGCTCCGGTGCCTTCGGGGAGCGTCTCCGATCGCGACTCCAGAGGCAAATCCACGGCGACGGGAAAAGCGACGATTTGGAAAACGGCTGCTCCTAACTCGGGATGCAGTTTATATTTCATAGACAGTAACGAAATATTGCTGCTGGCTGAGAGGAAAGAAACCCATTCAGCCGAAGCACTGCGGATAATTGGGGCTGACAGTTTAAATGTTCAAGGAGACAAGTTTTGCAAAGATGCTCTCTGCAGCGAGGGCTCAGACAAGCTCTGGCAACACAAAGTCAGTGCTTTAATTGTTAAGACTGAAAACTGACCCTTTTAAAGCCAATTAAATGGAACTGTAAAACTGAAGACAAAGGCGGAAATTGATGGTAAATGAGGGGGGTTTTTTCCTGGTTGGGTTTAGCAGAATCAGAAGGTTGGACTCAGGTGCGTCTTTTATTCCCCCCACACCAGGATCTTTAATGGCAAGAGGTGGAAGAGATGCTTCACCAGAGCTTTCTCCACAGAGACAACCAGGAATACAAGGTCAATAACCAGGAGAGGCTTTTTCAGGGCAGCAGTGGGACACTCAGCTGCCTTTAGAGGGGGGACACTGCTGCCAGGAGCTCAGCCACACTGAAATGGTGCCACACTGAATGCTGGTCCCAAAGGTGATGCTTCTCACCTGCACACAAAGATCCTGGTGCCATAAACACACTGTGAGGTCACTCCAGATAAGAAAAGAAAGAAGGAAAAAGATCGGTCAGCAGCAAAACAATCTCCTCAGCAGCAGGAGTGAGGATCTCTGCGAAGGGTTAGAGGCAGAGTTAAGCCCTCACCACACCCTGTCTCCTCCCATGAGCACTATCCCATCACCCAAGGTGGCAGAGAGATGAGGACAGAAGTATCAGAAGGATGCAATACAAAACAATTAAACGTTGCATTTCATTAGTGTGTATCACCCAGAACGGGGCAGACAGTGAAGGAGCATGACCTGCACTGCTGTCCACCCTCCTTGCTGCAAAGAAATGGGAGAAAACACCTCACTTATGAGCAGAGAGGGAGAAAAAAAGGCTGGAGGAAGCACTCATAAGGAGCAGTTACTAATTAAATGTTCAGTGAAAAATCTGACTTCCCGGGTGTCTCTAGAGCCACAGTGTGATGTCCTGTCCTGGACTGAGCTCTGGAGCCCTGATAAGCCCCCAAGGGTGGGGAGGGCTGGGGTTGAGGGGTTCCCAGACAGTGCTCCCAGCACCTCTGGCTGGATGGGGCTGGCAGAGGCTGCACCATTCCCCCACAGCCACCGACCTGCTAAAAAAACTCTGTCAAGGGGGAAAGCATCCCGTAGGCGAGCTCGGCAAGCAAACACACCATTGTCTGCCTTTTTAAGCTATTCCCCAATGTTTCGCATTGGCACGGTTTCCCTTGGCTTGACAAGTCTCTGCAAACATCCAGCCTGGCATTTTACACGTCTATGTCGAGTCTGAGATACCATCTAAGACAGACAACACTGTTCCCTATCACAGCCCTTTCAAGAGCTGGAGCTGCTGTGCTGCAACACGCCAAGGAACCTGCCGGTACCTGTCTGATTCCGGAGCAGCCCCGGCGATGGGCGCGGGATCCCTGCAGAGCCCCAGGCTGGCACAGCCTGCTTGGGGCTGCTGGAGCTCAGCAATGTGAAGCATCCTGCTCTAGAACAGCGAGTTCTGAGCGCCAGAGCTGGGACACAGCCACTGTCTTGCTCTTGGCGTAGTGCCGGTGGGATACAACAGGTCAGGAAGCACAAAATCATGGAATGGGTTCGGTTGGAAGGGACCTGAAAGTGTACATCTTTCCAACCGTCTTTCACAGGCAGGGACACCTTCCACTAGCCCAGGTTGCTCCAAGCCCTGTCCAACCTGACCTTGGACACTTCCAGGGATGGGGCAGCCACAGCTTCTCTGGGCAACCTGTGCCAGGGCCTCCCCACCCTCACAGGGAAAAAATTTCTTCCCAATATCCAATCTAAATCAACTCTCCTTCAACTTTAAGCCACTCCCGCCTGTCCTATCATTGCATGCATGTTACAGAGAAAGTCAGAGCATTATTTTTGCCTTAAAGGAGTCCCTTCATAAACACACCACCCAAGGTGCACTTGCTCAACACGACTTTATGTGAGCATCAAACCAGTCCAGCAAGAATATCCTCCTCTTGGTCAGGGCTTCAACTCCCTGTCTGTGACTACGAGCCTGGGCACTGGAGTGTCAGCCCGGAGTTATTCCCTTCCTCCCAACATTTCAGGCTGTGCTTCTCTGGAAAGCATTAAGGTGTTCCCAGTGTTTTTTCCCCACGTGCTTTCCAGAGTTGCCCTGTGCTCAGAGGACAGGGCAGGCAGAGAGCTGGCAGCTGCAGGCAGCACGAGGAAGCAAAGGGAGGGTGTTTTCCACAGGAATCGTGACCCTGACCTGCCCACAGGGTCGGGATCACGCTGGCACTGCCACCATTCCGCTTCGCCTCAAGTGGAAAGAACCAGCGCCCATCCCCATCTCCTGCATTTTCCAGCATCACCTGCTTAACCCTGGGAAGGAAGTTCACGCTGATCCCAAAACTGCTGCGCTGGAGCAAGACCAGCCCCTCGGCGGGGTTTCCTTGTCAGCCCATGAGCCGTGTGGCCGTTGCACCATTAGATGGGAGAATACAGACCCGCGTGTCCTGCACGCGCAGGCGCTCTCCCGCTCCATTTAGATGTAATTACACTGGGAATGCGTTTGCCAGGCGTCACTCCCAGTACCTCCGAGCTCATTGAATCGACAATTGCACTTGATGGGGATGAAGCGATTAATCGTTTATGAAACACTAAACAATGGGGCCTGGGGGTGAAGCGCTTTTTCCATTTGTGCTCCATTTATCTCCTCCTGCATCACACGACGTTGGTGCTGTTAAACTCCATTCACAAAACTGTCATCTTTTTGGCTGCCAAAACGCTCTCTTTGTTGACCGTGGCCAGCCAAAATGGCAAACACAAAAAACCTCTCCACCAAAACACTCCCTGTGCACATGCACAAGTGACACTATCACTGTCCCCAAGGAAGGAAAAGTAAAGACACAGATACTGATCTTGGCTACAATTAATAAATGCAGTGACATCCACATTTTTGAGACCATCGCCAGGACAGTGGACTCTACCTGCTGACCAACAGAACTACTTTCACCTGGTTAAGGTATGCCAAGGTCTTGTATGAAAAGTGGGGGAGAAAACGAAACCTTTCTGAGCCTCCACAGAGAAGGGCAGTGTAGCCACAAACTTCTCAAGAGTTTCTGTCCAGAGGAATGCAGGCAGGAGTGAGGCTTCCATCTCATGCCAACACAATCATCAGCGATTTGGAGCAACGTTCAGAACATTGACACAGGAGGAAAAGGTTCCATGTGCCATCACCCCTTCCAGGAGGCCACCTGCACCCTCTCCTCATTAACACTGAGTGTGTTAATGGTGATGGGGTCTGATGTTGCCAACCAGCCTCCCCGAGACACCCTGGCATTACCCTGCAGTGGGAAGGGCTGTTATCCAGGGAGTGCTGCCTCCCATGGCATCCCAGATGGACAAAGGATGTCCCTCCCCTCTCTGCGTGGGGCAGGCTGATGGGGGCTGGCACATCCCCAGCTAAGGAAAGGATCAAAAAGGGGGACTTTGCTTCAGAAACAAAGGAGGAGAAGAGGTGCAGGTGATGATGCACTACAGGAGGTCTCCAGCTCTGATTCAGGAAGGGAAAACATGAAGGAACTTTGCTCCAAGCAAGGAACTCTTCACCGTATCTCTGCGTCGGGGTCTGCCGTGACCTCTGAAGCTCCACAGACACCCAGCCTTCCACTTATCCCAGGGGGCTTCCAAGGGGCCCAGCCCCAACCCCACATAACTCAGCTCCCCCAGCTGCCTGTACAGCACCTGAAACACAGAACTTAAGTGCTTTATTCCAAAGGGGCTGGGATGGCTGGGCTGGCACCGGAGCCACAGCGCCGCGTCTGGGAGAAGCACCAGGCACATTCCTTCACACAACGCCGCTCTGCCTTATAATTGTGTCTGTAATATCGTAATTTATGTGGCATGAAGGAGCAATATTCTTCTGCTAAATGAATTCTCAGCTACTCCTTGTCGTGGTGTGAGCCAATTCACTGTGCAGGGGAGGAAAAAAATAGCTGGAGAGCCACCTTTCACAACACCGAGACCTATTTCTGACTGAACTGTGCTCCACTAATATCAATTTACTGAAACAATAAATCCTCTCCCCCTGTGGAGAATACATGGAGATAGAAGCAGCTCATGAACAAACAGCTATCAGGACTGCAGGCTGTGCCATTTGCTGATTCACAGCCTATAAACCTGGAAGTCTACTTTTCAGTAAAAATATATCTATAAACAAGCAAAATTACTGCCTCTTTATAATAACAATAAAAAAAAGGGAAAGCATTTGTGAGATGATGTAGGCTTGTCTCTTACTCTCTTTGAAAAACTGGGAGTGAAAGAATGACAGGTCCCTGATGGGAATGGGGTGTTCACACATGGCACAGGAATCACAGACTCCAGAGATCTCCTTCCAGCTCACTGTCCCTCCAGCTCGCCCCAGGCAAGACACTTCAAACCTGCCTGCTTTGGCGCCTGAGGGGACACCAACCACCCTGCCCCGGGCTGGGTGATCCCCAGGGCATTCCACATCCTGTCCCAAGATTCCTTCAGGGACGTCAGGGACTGACAGCCAACCACCTGAACACCACACTGGGCCATCTGGGACTCCCCCAGTCACCTCCACTTTCCCATGTGCAGGCCCACAGCGCTTGGGAGATGCAGCAATCGTACATTAATCTTTTATCAATATTATTTATAAACAGATCCTGCACGTAAAGTGTGGCCAACGCACAAAACAGCGAGCTGAGCATCCACAGTAAAACTTCCAGACATTTTGTTACAAACACAGCCTGCTAATGCACTTAAAAGATTTACAGG